AGGAGACCAGGATGATGTGAATTCGTAGAAAAATGTCCTTTGTCATGCAGATTTTAACCTGGGAAATTGAACATTTGGCCTGAATTGCATTCCCCCCCCCCCCCGATTTCATTCTGCCCTTTCCCCGCTTCTTTGTCACTGCTGTATATACCACAAGGAGACAGGCAAATCTTACAGGATTATTTACACATAGTAATTTGGAGATTGCTTTGCATGTAACGGCCCCCCCCCCCCCCGGGGTTCGGAGGAGGAGATTTAGCCAAGGGATATGTGTGATACGCTTCCAGGCAAGGACTGGGGGCATTAACGAGCCGCACGGTAATGTTGCTGGGAGACGTCGGTAAGGTCGCGGCGAGCAGGGGCCAATATGGGCGCGAGTCTGTTTCATTTGCTGGCCTCGGGAGCGCGGGACGAGAGTCCCGCCAAGGCTGGCACGAGCCGAGCGGTCCACATGGATTACTTTGGAGGAGCTTGTGGCGAGCCGGTGAAGTTGTAACCGCGGAGGAGGCGGAAGGGCGCTAATGAGAGATTTTGCTCTCTATTATTAGTCATGTGCTGCTCTTCTGTGTTTCTTGAGGGCTGCTTGTACACAGGCCGGAACCCGTTTCCTTCTCCTCCTGCACCGTTAAACGAAATTAAAGGTTTCTTCCAGCCCTCATCTCCCGCTTTTCAGGAGACCAGGATGATGTGAATTCGTAGAAAAATGTCCTTTGTCATGCAGATTTTAACCTGGGAAATTGAAAATTTGGCCTGAATTGCATCCCCCCCCCTCGATTTCATTCTGCCCATTCCCCGCTTCTTTGTCAAATTACAATACATAGTAATTTGGAGTTTGCTTTGCATGTAACGCCCCCCCCCCTTTAGTTCTTACAGCGAGTCGTGGTCTAAAGCCTTTTCAAAGCCTCCTACCCCCATCACTCATGGCTGCAGTGAACTGATTTCTCAGTTTCTACCATTTTAATGGTAGAGAGTGGTCCGTGCCTGATTCTTAGTCACCATTTCAAGAAAACTTTAGTGATGGTTGTTGATGAGGTGCAATGCTGTTGTGTTGTGGAACAACTTTTGCAAGGTATATAAGGTCCATTTTCTAGTGTGATTTTACAAGAAATGCCAATGACAGCAGCTATCAAACTGTCCTTAACTGTTGGATTGTCTTGTAAACTGAATCTGTGTTATGATTGGCGGAACTGTTCACAGCCTGTCATTACTAACGTCTAAAGAAAGAAAAGTTGGGGGAGTCAGCCCTATCTAGAAGCTATGCCCCTTAATCCTGTACATGTGGGAACAAGGTGTTCCTTGTACATGTGGGAACCCTACCTAGAAGCTATACCCATTTAATTTTTTACATGGTTTAAGTCTGGGCATTGGAGTTCAAAATCGGTTTTTGGGGGAGGGGGCTATGCTTTGTTGGCTCTTGCTTACGTTAAGTGCAGAGGATACCATGGGTTAACATTTTGTATTTTTGTCATTTAAAGCTTGAAATAATCCAGTTACTTAGTTTGTATTTCTACCCTTCCTCCAAGGGGCCTAGCATAAGCTCCCATAACTAGCAGGCTTAAATGTACTTAGTTTCAGAGATGGAACCCCTTTTGATCATGTTCTTCCCTTTTATAACAGAATGTTAAAAATTGCAGAAGAAAGTAGGAAGAATTCTCAAAGTCCTGATGTGAATTGTCATCCTCCTTTGTATTGCAGGTTATGCCAACATTTTCTTTTGAAGGTCGTCAGGCTTCCCACTTGCTTTTGTGTCTGGACAGTCCGGTAAATATATCTTCATATCTGGAGGATTGTTTTGCTGCCTTCAAGTATGGCCTTGGCAAAATCTGGCGTCCTTTAAGCACCTCATCACAATCTCATCCAGAATTGAGTGGGTACAACCAGCCGCTATGTATGTTGGTTTAACATTCCAAAAATAAACATGTTGAAAACTGAGTGTTCGGGGGAAAGATCAAACCTCCGAAGTGCCTCTCCTCACAGGAATGCTTACAGGACTGAGTTTCAAGCACTGAAAAGCACCTTTGACAAACCTAAGTCCGATGGCGAACAAAAGACAAAAGAAGAAAGTGAGGCGTCTCAGCAGAGCAGGGGGAGGAAATATGGATCTAATGTCAACAGGATTAAAAACTTATTTATGCAAATGGGTATGGAACCCAATGAGAGTGCTGGTGGCACAGCAAAGACCAGAGGTAAAGGTGGCCCTCTATCACCTCAGAGAAGGAGTAGACCTAAAGAATTTGTAGAGAAAGGAGATGGGTCAGTTGTAAAGCTGGAGTCATCCGTTTCAGAAAGGATTAGTAGGTTTGATGCTATGCATGATGGCCCTTCTTATTCTAAGTTTACTGAGACACGGAAGTTGTTTGAAAGAAATATGCATGAAATAGGGCATTCCAATCGCTATTCCCCAAAGAAGGAGGTACTCGTTCCTAATGCTGAACTTCAAGATGAATGGTGCAGCTCTAAGTCTAACCGAGGCAGTTCAGACTCCCTGGATAGTCTTAGTTCAAGGACTGAAGCTGTCTCTCCAACAGTGAGTCAGCTTAGTGCAGTGTTTGAAAATACTGACTCACAAAGTGTGATTGTTTTAGAGAAGGCAGAAAACAATGAAGGGTATTCTGTAACTGGTCACTATCCACTAAATTTGTCTAATGTGGACACAAATCTGTCTTCCAGTGTTTCCAACCTTGATGGTTTTAGCCCCATTAAAGAAGCCAACACTTGGCCTTTGACAGCCAAACAAAATACCACTTCAGTATCTGTTGAAAATTCTCAGCCCATCAGTAGGTCACCATCCGCCAATGAAAAATCTTCTAACAGCACTTTGCCTCTTTCAAAAACAAGTGGGATACAAAATAAGGATGTCCGTCATGATTCTGTTGACACTGGTATAGCAACTGGACAAGAGTCAGTGGATGGAGTTGATAATCAGAGTTTTGATGAGCAGCCCACCAAGAATCAAGCAGAAACAGCCCCTGAAGTACTGCCTTTGCAACAAAAAAAGATCTTGGATGGAGAGGAGACTGCAGAAATATCAGGAAACTTAATAGCCAGTGAGGATGTTGCAGTCACTGAAGCTTCACATTCTGTTGGCTCCCACTGTGAAGATGCTAATGGTAAGGAAGTACAGGAAGACTTGAATAACTTTCAGAGTTCTCATGTGTACATGCACTCTGATTACAATGTCTACAGGGTACGATCAAGATATAATTCTGATTGGGGAGAGACAGGAACGGAACAGGATGATCAAGAAGACAGCGATGAAAACAATTATTATGAACCTGACATGGAATATTCTGAAATTACTGGATTGCCAGAAGAAGATGAAATCCCACCAGCTAGAAAAATCAAGTTTAGTACTGCTTCAATTAAGGTAAATTTGGTCTGCTTTGTGTGTGTGTGTGTCTGCATATTAACATGTGTGTTTCATGTGTATGTATCCGGACATCCATGCTTCTACTCTTTGTTTGATATTGTTCATGGTGTTTTTTGCCGACTTGTTTGTGGTATTGAATAATTTTACAATATGTATTTCATTCTCATTGGAAATTGGATTGATTCAAGGTTCTAAGCTCAGATGATTTCTTCTTTGCTGTCTGTTGAAGATCAAAATTGTGCTCCATCCAGTTTGTGGCTGCATAACATTTTTTGCTATTTGGGTTTTACTTCCCATGAAGGAGAGTGTGTGGCTGGCTCAGGTGATTCATAGGAATGCAGGTGGCTGAATTGGCAAGATGAGAAACCTGGGCTATTTTGCGGGGCCAAGCTTCTAATAAAACCATGTGAAATACTGGAACAGAGACATATAGTAAGGGCAAGATGGCTTGGATAAGAGCAGAGAGTGGAATAAAGCTAGATTTGAAGCAGCAGCTGATGGTATTGTAATCCAATTAAGCAAGGCCACGTGCAAGGTAGCAAAGGAATAGTAGAGGCTGAGGGGCTGCACCGAGTCCTGCTGTTCAGAATGGCAGCAGGCCCCTTGGGCACAGACACTGTTCCTTTCCTCCATGTTCTTTTTCCTGCCTCTGAATTTGCTGTGGGGGATTCCCCAACCTTGGCCCATGGATTTCCAAGTGCTGATCTTCAGCTTTTGCGTATTTCAAAGATCATCCTGTGGCAAAAAGAGGATCCATGGCTGTGGGCTGGCACGTGAGGGCCCAGACTAGAGAGGAAACGAAATGGCACCCTCTGTCTTATGGGTGGTGTGCTGCAGAGCCCCTCTCTTTTTGACTCTGTCTCCAGTCTGGGATAACTACAGCCTGTGCAACACCATTCTTGTTTTCCAGTAAGCTCTCTGGGATCGCAACCCATGCTTTCAGAAACCCTGAGCCTTGCATGTTTATACATCTGGGAATAAGAAGTTATACCAGAGGTCATTTCGGGGGGGATCGCAGTTCCCCCGGGTGAGGTACGGGGAGGCGGGGCACATGACGAAGCCCCGCCCCCCGCTTCCGGCCCTCATTCAGCCAGGAGGAGGCAGGAGAAGAGGGAGGGTAAGTTGCTTCCTCCCTGCCTCTCCCCACCCCTGCCTGCCTGGGGCCAGGGAGGGCCTTCGCGGGGCTTCCTTGCACTCCCACCGGCCTTGCAGGTCCACCGCCGGGCCCCTCATGGGGCTCGGCAGTGGAGCTGCAAGGCCGGTGGCGGCCGGGACCGTTGGGGGCGGGGTGTGTGGCCTTATGACACACTTCCGGTGATGTCAGGGGGTGTGGCATATGCTAATGAGTTATGCTAATGAGTTCCTCTAGCTCTTTTTCTACGAAACGACCCCTGAGTTATACAATATTGTTCCTACCTTCCAGGGTTTTCCCCCCTCCCCCTTTGCCCCTTCCGTTCTTCCGTCCCATGGAGACCCTCCCTGTTTGAAAAATGCTGGCTCTGCTCCTTGCAGGATAATGGGACAGCTGTAGTTCTCCAGCTGTCAATACTGTAACCTCAACACTAGTAATATTTTCTGAAGTTTGAGGCTCTGCTAGGAAATTAGGGTTTTAGTGTTTTACCTGGGTTATAGCTGAACCAGCCATGAGGGTTATGTACAGTTTGCTTCAGGTAAACCCCAGCATGAGAGTGACCCAAAATAGAAGAGAAGGGGTACGTGGCTTAATTGGTCTGGGTTTCATGTGTGAGCATCCCAAATTAGCTGTCTTTGAAACAATGTTGGCTCTATGAATAAGAGGCACTGCACCAGTGGGTATGTGGTCCCTTTGGCTTTCTGTATGCCATCAGTTGGATGATTGCAGGCTGAGTAATGTAGTGGCTAAACTGTTAACCAGGAAGGATCCGCTCCATTCAAATGCCCCCTTTCATGTGGAGGATTATAAAGTAAACTAGTGTAGGGGTTTGAATGAGGGCTGTGCTGTGAACCAAGAAGAGCCCCCATTTAAATCTCATCTCTGCCATGCTGAGGTTGGGAAAACCCAGCATATCTGGGTACTACGTCTGTTCATGCAGATCAAGACCTGCTGTGTATTTTTCTTTTTTGGTCACACCTTAAGACTTCGCAACCCATTTGATAGATGTACTGGACAGCAGATCATTTACAAATTCAGTGATCTGTCATCCCCTCTCCTAGCAAACTTCAGGCGAGCTGTCTTCTTTTTAAAAACATACTTCAAAATCTCCATTTATTCCATTATCCTTAAAAAAAATGGCAAGTCTATTTTTTAGAGAGAAGCATACAAGTGGGCTAGTTATTTGTTTCCAACATTAGTACTGTGCATGCCTTTTCATACAAAGGAAGGATGTGTTTCCTCTGAGCTTGATCCTGGGTGGGAGATTATGTACATTTGACTAACTTGTGATACAGATGTTTCTGCAGAAGGCTAACTACTAAAATTATACACATCTAGACATGCTGTACCTCCCCCTTCTGTCTGTAATATGATGATAATAATGCTGATGCTCCTGAAAGATTGTTGTACAGATATTATTTATTTATTAAAACATTATATTATTTCCTCATGGTTCTCAAGGCAGCATACAATAATAGTTAAAAACATTTTCAGTTAAAACCAAAACTAGAGAGCAAACCCCAGATCTCCCCCCTTCTGATAATGCATGTGAACTGCTTTAAATGTTTGGAAATACTAAAATATGATTGCATTGTTTTGTAGTACAGGCTAATATTTTAGGTATGTGTGGGTGCTCTGCAGAATTCTCCCCAGGTCTAAGTGTTCATCAGAGTCTCATAACCCTACAATTCTACAACCAGTATTTTAAATCCAAATAGTTTATATCAAACATTTTTGGCATCGTTCATGTCCACATGCTTTTAAATGTATGCCTTTCACTTTAGAGAATCAAATACGAGCAGCAGCCATAAATGTGTTGTATGTCGGGATCATATATATAGCTCTAAACAGAGCCATAGCTAACTTTCTAAGATCATTGACATAGACTCAGTGTTTGTGCAAGATTTACCTAAGTTGTATAGATATTTGACAGTGAATTGATATGTTCAGTCAAAAAATAAGCATGGATGTTGATGTCTGCTATGTAGGAATTGTACCATGCAATCCTAAGAACATTTCCCTGGGAGTAAGCCTCACTGAATGGGCCTGAGCAGGATTCTAAGCAGACTTACTTAGGGTTGCTCTTGTGGTCTCTAATGGTGCCATCCTAAGTAGAGTTTCTAAGCCCATTGATTTCAGTTGACACAGAAGGATGTAACTCTGTTTAGGATGGCATTTTAAGTCTTTGGGGGTAGATATGCCTGATTGTATTTAAGCTAAAATTGAAACTGACGGTGAAATTTTAACTTTCTGAACCTTTACAGCTGAGGTGTCACACTCATTTGTTATGAGGGCTGGATCTCATATAAATGTCACTTTGTTGGGCTGGGCCATGCGTGCTATAAAATGTAACACAAGGTATCAGATATAAACTTTATAAAGATGATTTCAGATGCCGAATGGCAATAGCAGGCATGATTGAATTAGGTGTGATATGCAAAGGGGAAGTAGACGTGGAGATATCAGCACCTAGGTCTCAATTCCATCCAGGAAGATTCAGTCCAGGAGGGTGCAGAGAATAAATGGACATAAGTCTGACATTAGAAACCACAATATGCAGTTGCTGACCTAAGACTAGCAGTTCTCTCACAAAGGAATTTCATAGGGAGATTAGAAAGAGAGACTGCTGAATTGCAATTGATAATGAAGCTGAATTGCAATTGATAATGAAGCTGTGGTGGACCTGCAAGGCCGGTGGGAGTGCAAGGAAGCCCCGCGAAGGCCCTCCCTGGCCCCAGGCAGGCAGGGGTGGGGAGAGGCAGGGAGGAAACAACTTACCCTCTGTCTTCTCCTGCCTCCTCTTGGCTGAATGAGGGCCAGAAGCGGGGCAGCCGGAAGCAGGGGGCGGGCTTCGTCATGTGCCCCGCCCCCCGTACCTCACCCGGGGGAACTGCGATCCCCCGCGATCCCCCCGAAATGACCTCTGAGTATACTTCCACATAAAAGCTTATACCTGGAATAAAAGGTTGTTGGTCTTGAAGCTGCAATGGGACTCCAACTTTGTTTTCTCTTTCGTTTTCCTCCCCTGCCTCCCCAAAGAAGAAGAAGCAGCTCCAAAGAAGGAATCAGAAGCTCTCTCTCTCTCTGTGTGTGTGTGTGTGTGAGTGTGAGAGAGAGAGGCTTGTCTTTGTATCTCTCCCATACAAAGCAGGAAGCAGCCATGGAGCTCTCTATGTGCCTCTGTGTGTTTGTGTGTGTAAGAGAGGGCGAGGGGGGAGGGAGGCAAGAAGCAGGAAACAGAAAACAAAGAGCCACTGAGAGAGCCGGGAAAAGGAAGCTAGGGTGTGGCTGCTGGAGCAGCCCTGGGAAAAGAAGCAGGAGAAGGAAGTTGCTTGGGGGTGGTGGTTTTGAGCCCTATGCAGGCCAGATGCATCCTGTGGGCCACACATTTGACACCCCTGCTTTACAGGTAATGATACATATCTCATTTATAGAACTGAATCTTTTAGTAGGGTGAAATGGAACATTGTACATTTGACCATAAAATATACTTAAATCTGGACGATAAGGTCAGTAATATATTTGTGAGAAAATGCCTTTTCTCCTGGGAGACTTGAGATGAGCAAAGCTTCCACTGTGTGTTTTAAAAGTTTTTTTCCTCTGGGAAATGGGGGCATGGGGGGGGGGGAAGTCTGTGCATTGCTTTGTAGACTCAGCTCACCATTCAAATGCTAATAGATTTAACAGGAGAGATAATTCATGGGGATAATCCATGTCAGGACATCTGGGTGCCCCCACAATATCTATTGGCTGAGGTGATGGAAATAAAAAGGGTTTAAATGTATCCAATTGGAAAAATATCTTTTTGATAGTGTAAATTTAGCACTGGAATAAAATGAACCTGGGTTCTGGACTAGTAACTCAC